AGCAGCAGCAGCAGCAGCAGCAGCAGCAGCGGCAGCAGTAGCAGTAGCAGTTGCAGCGTCGGCGTCGTAGTAGTAGTAGTAGTAGTAGTAGTAGTAGTAGTAGTAGTAATCGCAGTAGTTGGAGGAGGAGTAGAGATAGCAGTAGTCGTGGTCGTCGAACAGTCCTTTACAGCGTATGGTCTTGTTCATGATACTGACCCGTGAGGAAGGGGGTGCTGTGAAGATCTGCTTTTGTTCGCAGTTTTCGAGACGCGCCAGGGTGGCTGAGCTGCATGGCACTGGAACCGCTCTGGGAGATCCGATCGAAGTCGGTGCTCTGCGCGGCGTGATGAAGCGTCTCAGTCTGCACTCGGTCCTGTCTCGCGTGTTCTTGGGGAGAAAGTTTGCGATGTCCAGGGATCGAAAAGTGCCAATCATGAAGACGAGTGCGAAGTCCAACCTGGCTCACGGCGAAGCCAATGCAGGGATGGCAGGCTTTGATTAAGCGAAGCCTTGGTGAGGATGCTGAGTATTGTATCCTGTTGTGTTATCGCGTTTTGCATAGTACCTCGCTCTGTGCTGCTTCAATCGCAGGTCTTGTGAAGTGCGTCCTGATGTTGAACCACCACAGTGTTCCTCCGAACGTTCATTTCTACTGCCTGAACCCGCATGTGGACATGAATGGTTATCCCTGCCAGATTTCGGTGCCTTGTCTCGAACTGTTCTATACTTTCAGCAGATTGCTGCGGTCGAGCTCTAGCTGAGCTTTGCCCCAACACTGGCCAGGGAGAGCTCCTGGATCTGGGCTCTAACACTGGCTACGCGGGTGTCTCTTCCTTTGGCTTTGGTGGCACCAATGCGCGGGCCGACATCTGGGCCAAAGCACACACTGGCTTCAGAGACTCTGTCCCACTATTTTACCATGGCTTCTCAGTTCCGTTCTGTGCACAGCCGTGGCCTGTAAGTCAAGGAAAAGTTCGTCAGGTCGACCTCAACATGCTTGACTCTCTTCTTAAGCAGGTGCATGCCGGCATGCAACCTTTGAAGGGAGTTTCTCAATCCCAGTACCCTCAGCAAGCTGAGGAAAACGTGACTGTGCGATGCCCGACTCTTGACCGAATTGAGCTCTTGTGGAAGGGTGCCTGCGGTACAGCCTGCGGTGCACTGGCCAAGTCTCTTTTGCGTGCGTGTGCGAGGAAGTGCTTGGGCAGTATGGAGTGGAAGAGCTCTGACGCAGTACCCTCACGGCTGCCAAAGCCAACGGGACAGGGCCGGAGGCGGGCACATTGCGTCCGCGAGTCTGACAACTACGACTTCTGTAGTGCCTCGGCTTGCCACACTCACTTCAGACGCGATTGTTCGCATCATCTTGGCATGATGAATGTCATAACTAGGATGATTATTGGCATAGTTTGCTTGTCATTCCCGCCAGCACATTCTGGTACGTTATGCCGGTGTATATGTCTGTACAGCATGACCCAGTAACAACGACGCACAAGGAGAATCTCAAAGTCCTATCCATGCCAAGTGGGCAGCCTGAGATGTGCACCCCCCTGGAGACTTAAGTCCTGCGATTGGCTTGTTCCCAGTTTTGCCTCCCTGCCATCTGCCGACGGGCTAACATGCCTGCGACTCTTCAGGCGCCCCGTATTGACCAGCTACCAGTTGTGAGAAGCGTCGAAAACCCAGTTATTGCAGCCCCAGAAACAACTGGTTGGGGTTGAACTTCAGGTCAAGGGCTGGGCGCAAGCCTAAGAAAACGTGCGTGCCTTTGCAGATGCCCAGGCCACTGCTACGACGGCTCCTACCTCTTCGGACAACCGACTCCAGAAGACCCCATGCCAGCGGGCACAGCTTACATCAAGGGTTCCTGGACAGCTGCTCGATCTTCGGAGGATGTGCGATTGTGAGTGTACACTTTGTCTAATTTCGAATCTTACTTGTAAGTTGACCCTCTGTGACTCCAGGCTTTCTCAGAGTTTGAGGAGATGAAGGTGGAGGAGCATCTAAGCAACTGCATGTTGTTTGGGTGAGGCTCCAAGGTCTGTGCCAAAGGGCAACCTGGCTCAACGGCTCGAAGCTATGCAAAAGATATTGTCGCTAGCAAGGCAGTTGCTGTGGTTTGGGATTACTGCAGGGGTATATTGAGCCTGAAGGTGTCAGAGTGCCGCGGTGTCCGAGACCACGCAAACAACACAACATTCTTGTCGAGTACCGCCGTTGTTTCACAACATCGACTCAGAGTTGTCAACGTATACAGTACCCAACATCAGCACCGCAGTTGAAAGCTGCTGCTGTTGCTGCTGCTGCTGCTGCTGCTGCTGCTACTGCAGCCACT